CGTTATTTCTTTTTCGCTATAGTATATTAAAAATATAAAGAAGAAAGTTGAAATTATTATTTGCATGTAAAATATTGTGATATGGAAATATACCTTATATAGTGGCCAGTGTTTGAAAAAATTGTCGTTTTGTTTATATAACACAATTTACAATGTAAATAAATTAGACTCAATTATAATATAAACAATTGTCTGTAAAATGGTCAAGAACAGTCTATTTATTGTAAATATACAAAATATAATACAAAATGCCATCAAAAATGTATGCATTTTTAAATAAAAGTTTAACATAATAAAGCACTAAAAATGTGTATTTCCTGTTTGTTTTGGCAGTTGTCAAAATAACCATATCTTGGAAAATGAACATTCGTCACGAAACACGCTTCGTGATTTTCTTCATCACCATGGTGGGCATTTTTGCTCTCGAATGTCCAACAAACAACAAAACGTGTCACTGTCATTTAACGAACGACAAATTGGAGGCTACGATAAGTTGTATAACAAATAGTAATTCTGTATTCCATATCTCCATTAAAAAAGACGCAATGATAAAGGTATGTGTTTATTAAACTATAAGCGTTTCATATTGATCTATACAAATGTATGATTTCAAAAATCTGTGCAATACTAATCAATATTGCAGCAAAAATTCGATTGAAAATTATAGAATTAAAACACTCAATATAAAAAAAAAAAATTTTGATGTAACAGATTGTTTAGTTAGCAACATCATAAGGCAGAGGCATCAAATTTCTTATTACAACAATTGTTTTTGTTATTTATTATTGTTTATAAAGTAAACAATTTAAAAAATATTTTTTTGTGTTGTCCTCTTTTCACAACTTTTTTATTATTTTACTTTAAACATTAATCTTGTACTAAATTTAAGAAGTTTTAGATTCAATTTGTTTCTTATTCTCTTAAATTTCAGTTATTTCAATCACGTTTACATCAGCGAATGTTTCTTTACACAGATTGAATGCTTGGATTCACCAGTATGGTCAGATTTCGATTTGAATATAACACCGTTAAGCAGTTACAAAGAGATAACATTCGACAACTGCAATTTACCGAGTAACAACAGCTTGAGTGACATTGCACACATGCTAGGAGCTACAAGCGTAGAAAGATTATATTTTTCTTCGCACAATAACTATAACCTCACCTTGAAAAAGCATCATCTGAACGGTTTTAAGAATTTAACATATCTTTATCTAGCCGATAACAATTTGCTTTATGCGGACAAAGATCTATTTGCCGATTTGAAAAAATTGACAGCTCTTCAGTTGAACAGAAACAACAACCACTTACATAACTTGACCGCCAAATTTTTTGATTACACCACTCAATTAATGTATCTTGATATAAGAGGCAACAAATTAAAATTGATAGCACCGGGCACATTTGATAAACTGAATAATTTAATATATCTGGATCTATCAATTAATCATTTAATCCAGGTTGAATTGGGGAATTTTTGACAAACTCATCGCTTTGCAGTTTCTCAACCTTAGTTATAATTACTTAGTCACCTTACCAGAAGATATATTTGTAAAACTGAAGAACCTTAAAGAACTTTATTTAGGTGCAAACTATCTTACAGATTTTCCAAGAAATCTGTTACAAAATAATCAAAATCTTATAGCCGTTGATATGTCAAGCAATAAAAATTTGACTTTGTTGCATGGATGTTTTAGCAACATGATAAAGTTAAGATTTTTGGGGCTGAAAAATAATGGATTGATCGCATTGCCGGAAGATCTTATTTGGAGATCCTTTCAGCTGCAATTAATTGATTTGAGTAAAAATTATCTTAAATCCTTGCCTGAGCATATATTTCGGGATGCAATAAATTTAAGAATGTTGTTATTGAAGTCTAACAATATCAAAGAATTGTCTGATTATATTTTTAAGAATACCAATCTTTTAGAAGCGTTGGATTTATCAGATAATCGCATTACTTCCATTTCTCGGTACGTCTTTAAGTCACTGTAACTTTACGAATTATAAAATTTACTTTTACTTTTATATTTTTAATATTATAAAAGTTTCTTTAATATTTCAGAGAACTGTTTAATGGATTGCACGCGTTGATGGAACTAAACATGGCACAAAATCACCTAAGTACCATTTCCGCCGAAAGTTTTAGTTCTTTAAAATCTTTAAAGGTTGCTATATTCTCTAACAACTATCTCACATTACAATCTGCAATTTTTCATCCAAATATCGTATCAAAATCGCCTTTCCACAATTGCCGTTCATTGAAAGAATTATATTTATCTCACAACAACATATCTGAGATTATCTTAGATGGTTTGTTCAGAACAATAGAGGTATGTCATTATATTACATATTATAAATAAAATAATTTCAACCAGGTGATAATAAAAGTGTAACATTAAAACAGATGAAAAGTATCCAAATTTATAAATTTTATCAATTAATTTTGGCCTTTTTGGTCAGCTATAGAATAAAATACAAGTAGAAATAAATTAAATTGTAAAAAAAATTAACTTTTGGAAATTGTGAATAAAAAATATTATTTTAACAAATAAAATATAAAATCGATTTGTATTCCAGATTTTGCAACTACACAGTAACAATATATCCAAAATACACCCTGATGTATTGGAGTTTTTCCGAAATTCCACCTCTTTAATATATTTGACATTACACGATAATCCGTGGGAATGTAATTGTGATACTGTGGATTTCTTACGTTTTATTCACACAGAATATCGAAAAATTACCAACATATCTGAAATGTCACAAGTAATGTGTCATGGAACAAATAAATCTGTATCAGATATGACTTCCTACGATTTTTGTCCGCTTGACACAACAGCGATTGTCAGTTTTAGCGTTTCGATCACTCTACTAGGATTTATCATCTGCATTCTTGGATTATATTATAAATACCAGAAACACATTAAAATATGGCTATTTGCACATGAATGGTGTTTACGGTTCGTAACAGAAGAACAACTGGACGAAGAAAAATCATATGACGCGTTCGTGAGCTACTCGCATAACGATCACAGTTTTATAATAAACGAGCTGGTACCGAAGCTAGAGAACGGCCCTACACCTTACAAACTGTGCCTGCATTATAGAGATTGCTCAATATATGAGTGTGTATCGGACGTTATCGCTAGATCCGTGCAAAATTCGAGGCGGACGATAGTGATTCTGTCGCCAAATTTTTTGAATAGTTGGGGAAAGATGGAATTTCGTGTCTCACATTGTCAAGCGTTGAGTGAAAGCCGTGCGAAAGCGATACTCATATTCTACGATGATATCGGACTCATCAATGACTTGGATGCAGAATTGAAAGCAATTATAACTATGAGTACGTGCATTCAATGGGGTGATCCTTGGTTTTGGGATAAATTGAGATACGCGCTGCCGCATCAGTCCACAATCAAGAAGCGTCCACGATCAAATAGCAGCATTAATGAAGGAGAAGTTGTCGAGAATGATGAATTGTGAACAAACAGAGATAAGAAGAAACATCCATCCGGTTATAATATCTAAGGCACTTGCGAACATTGTATGTCATAGTTTTTATTTACGACAAATACAATTTTGTTTCATAATTTTGCTTTGAAAAATTGTGAAAGATAAAAGTGAAATTGTAATTAGTTATAACAATGCAATAACATAAATATATGGTTACAAGTTTTTAAAATTCTTTCACTTTTCTCTTTTTTTTTAATATAATACAATTATAAGATACAATTATACATCATTGGTCAAAAGCGGTTATTTCAAATATTTTCAAATTTTAATGTACGTACACAATGTCAAAAATAAAATTACATTTCTTACATTAATGAGATAAGGAGTTTGCGCAATATGTGACATGATTAGTATTACGTATGAAAGATCAGAGGTAAAGAAAAAATGGGGATGTTAATTACTTTTACAGAATATGTAATTTAAGAGAAGCACACGAGCAAACAGCCACATGAACAAATAACAATTGAACTGGGTCTAAGCCGCCCCAACAATAAAAAAAAAAGAAACCGTGATAGTATCGCTAGCTGACGCGTTCGCAAAGAGATTCGGAGTTTTTAAATGTTTTTTTTAGAAAGTTAATATGATTTATGTTATAAAAATGCAGCCTTTATTTGAAAACGCTCTACACAACGTAAGCACAACGATGCTATTTTTCATATTTTAAATTGACTTTTTTTTATACAAGTAAGATAACCATGAATAAAGATATGCACAAATTTTATATTTTATTGTTGCAATGCTGGCTTTGGAAAAAATTCACCAAAAATTCACCCGTTTTCGGCCGCTTTATTAAACGGAGCTGTTAAATTCAATATAATTTGGTGTTTTACAAAAATTTAATAGAAGTTTTACGTTGCGTCTAAAGATGAGTTTGTCAAGACAGATGGAGAGTAAGGAATGGTTCTGTGTCAATAAAATACTAACGGGCAAAAAAGTCTATAAGAACCATACACATTGGTATTAGTGTGCAAAAAATATGTTATTGACGAAAAGGATATCAAACAAAAAGAGACGTTTTGGTTTCATTACCGGATTTTCCTCAATCTGCTGGTGATGTAAACGGAGGTCACGCATAACCATGATATGATTTGCCGTCATATCGTTTATAAACCTATTTTTTGCTTGATAAAAATAAAAATACGATAAACGTATCACTCTATCAAAAATTCTTCCGCACACAGGAAGTTGGCTTCTTTTCATATCTTTCCTTCATATTGTGGTTTTGTATAAGAAATTACGCAGTTTGGTAGATTTTAATTGCGTCAAATGCTAAAAATTATTTTGGCAAATCAAGAATCATCGTTTAGAAATAAAATAATTTTTTATGTCCCACACGGAAAGTTAAACACATTTTCTATATATTATATCATTCTACAATATTAAAAATAACTATATAAAAGAGAAACATTAAGAGCGAAAAGTAGACAACGTAAAAGAGAAAAAGGAGGTGTTTGGCATCGCTCAGTGTCAGTTTGTGTCGAATCCTTTAAAGGGTAACAACTTTCTAACTATCGGAGACAAAAGTGTTCGGACTTGGGTCAGGCGCATAACGGACTGCTTGTAAGTAACGATTATTAGAATTGCATTATTTGAGAAACGCGACTACAATATTGCAATTGGAACATAATTTTTCTACGGTTGTTTATGCATTGCTGATTCCATAATTTTCTAAAAAACATAGTTAACAACCGAAAAAAACAGATTTATCGGAAGTGCTGCGAAACGTCGAAACTGTACATTCTGATGCAAATTGCGGAAAGTAATAACATTCTGCATCTCATTTATTATCGTTGTCTTTTGCTAGAAAAAATTTCAGAAACAAAGAGTAGCTAATAAACATTACCAACGTGTTTAATATAATGCAGGCGGTTAGTAAATGGCGTGGATTTTGTTTTTATGGTTCAGGCATCATCTTCTATTAATGATCAGTCACATATATGCAGAATTTAATCCTGCATATTTGCGCTATGTGCATTTAACAAGTGCATTTTCAAAACGTATTCTTCAATTGTTAGAAATATCTGTGATTAATATAATCTTATTTTGCGATATATCGATGTAATTTTCTACAATAATCGTTTTCCGTTTTTTTAAACGTTACTTATTTTGCGCTATAGTAGGTTAAAAATATAAAGAAAAAAGTTAAAATTATTATATGCATGCAAATTATTGGAATGTGTATGTATATCTTATGGGCAGTGTTTGAAAAATTTGTTGTTTTGTTTATATAACACATTTTACAATGTAAGTATATTTAACCCAACTATAATATAAACAATTGTCTGTGCAAAATGGTCAAGAACACTTAATTTATTATAAATATACACAATATAATACAAAATGCCATCAAGAATGTATGCGTCCTTAAATAAAAGTTTAATGCAAAAATCATTAAAAATGTGTATTTTCTGTCTGTTTTAGCACATATCAAAATAACCATGATATCTAGGAAAATAAACATCCGTCACGAAACATGCTTCGTGATTTTCTTCATCACCATGCTGGGCATTTTCGCTCTCGAATGTCCAACAAATAAGTGCGAATGTTATTTAACGAACGACAATTTTATTGCTACGATAAGTTGTACAACAAATAGTAATTCTGTATTTCGTATCTACATTGAAGAAGACGCATTGATAGAGGTATGTGTTTATTGAACTATGAGCGTTTTATTTTGATCTATACAAATATATAATTTTAACAAATATATAATTTTGTAAATCTGCACTCCTAATAGTAATTAATTATAGTAATCCTTATAGTAATCAATATTACTATAAAAATTTGATTAAAAATTATAGAAGTAAAACAATAAATATAAAGAAAAAAAAAATAAAAAATATAACTCACATTGTTTAGGTAGCAATATCATAAGACAGAGACATCAAATTTCTTATTACAATTGTTTTTTTGTTTTAATATCATATATAAAGTAAAATATTTTCAAAAAAATTTTTTGTGTTATCTTTGTTTGACAACTTCTTTAACATTTTACTTTAAACTGTAATCTTATACTAAATTTAAGAAGTTTTAGACTGAATTTGTTTCATATTCTCTTAAATTTTAGTTATTTAAATCACGTTTACATCAACAAATGTTTTTTTACACAGATCCACTGCTCTAATTCACCAGAATGGTCAGATTTCGATCTAAACATGACACTATTGGGGAGTTACAAAGAGATTAAATTCGACAACTGCAATTTACCGAGTAACAACAGCTTGAGTGACATTGCACACATGCTAGGAGCTACAAGCGTAGAAAAACTATATTATTCTTCGCACAATAACTTCAATCTTACCTTGAAAAAGCATCATCTGAACGGTTTTAAGAATTTAACATATCTTCGTCTATTCGACAACAACTTACACAACTTGACCAACGAATTTTTTTATTATACCACTCAGTTAATGATTCTTGATTTAAGAAACAACAAATTAAAATTGATTACACCAGGCACATTTGATAAGCTGAATAATTTAATACGTCTGGAGCTATCAAGTAATCACTTAACCCAGCTGGAATTGGGAATTTTTGACAAACTCATCGCTTTGAGATGGCTCAACCTTGGTTATAATTATTTAGTCACCTTACCAGAAGATATGTTTCTAAAACTGAAGAACCTTAACCATCTTTTTCTTTATGGAAACAATTTTACAGATTTTCCAAAAAATCTCTTACAAAATAATAAAAATCTGATGCTCATCGATATGTCAGGCAATAGAAATTTGACCTTGTTGGACAGATCTTTTAACAACATGGAGAAATTAAAAATTTTGTGGCTCCAAGTTAATGGATTGATCGCATTGCCGGAAGATCTTATTTGGGGATCCTTTCAGCTGCAATTTATTGATTTGAGGAAAAATTATCTTGAATCTTTGCCTAAGCATGTATTTCGGGATGCTATAAATTTAAAAACATTGCTATTGAAGTCTAACAATATCAAAGTATTGTCTGATTATATTTTTAAGAATACCAATCTTTTAGAGGAGTTGGATTTATCACATAATCGCATTACTTCCATTTCTCGGTACGTTTAAGTTTCTGTAACTTTACGAATTATAAAAATTTCTTCTAGTTTTATGCTTTTATTATTATAAAATTTTTTTTAATTTTTCAGAAATCTGTTTAATGGATTACACGCGTTGAAGGAACTATACATGGAACAAAATCATCTAAGAACCATTTCCTTCGAAAGTTTTAGTTCTTTAAAATCTTTAAAGGTTGCTATATTCTCTAATAACCATCTCACATTACAATCTACATTTTTTTATCCAAATATCGTACCCAAATCGCCTTTTCACTATTGCCGTTCATTGAAAGAATTATATTTATCTCACAACAACATATCTGATATTATCTTTAATGGATTGTCCAGTACAATACAGGTATGTAATTATATTACATATTATAAATAAAATACTTTCAAACAGGTATTAATAAAAGTGTAACATCAAAAGAGATGGAAAATATCCAAATTTATAAATTTTATCAATTAAGTTTGGACTTTTTAGTCAGCTATAGATTATAATACAAGTAGAATTAAATTAAATTGTAAAAAAGTTACCTTTTGGAAATTAATAATAAAAAATATTAATTTAACAAGTAAAATGTATAATCGATTTAAATTCCAGATTTTGGAACTACATAGTAACAATATATCAAAAATACGCCCTGTATTGAAGTTTCTCCGAAATTCCACCAATTTAATTTATTTGACATTATATGATAATCCGTGGGAATGTAACTGTGATGCTGTGGATTTCTTACATTTTATTCACACAGAATATCGAGAGATTACTAAAATATCTAAAGTGTCGCAAGTGATATGTCACGGAATAAATAAATCCGTATCAGATATGAGTTTCTACGACTTTTGTCCGCTTGACACAACAGCGATTATTATTATAAGCGTACTAATTACTCTAACAGGATTTATCATCTGCATTCTTGGATTATATTATAAATACCAGAAACACATTAAAATATGGCTATTTGCACATGAATGGTGTTTACGGTTTGTAACAGAAGAACAACTGGACAAAGAAAAATCATATGACGCGTTCGTGAGCTACTCGCACAACGATCACAGTTTTATAATAAACGAGTTGATACCGAAGCTAGAGAACGGCCCTACACCTTACAAACTGTGCCTGCATTATAGAGATTGCTCAATATATGAGTGTGTATCGGACGTTATCGCTAAATCCGTTACAAATTCGAGGCGGACGATAGTGATTCTGTCGCCAAATTTCTTGGATAGCGTTTGGGGAAAGATGGAATTTCGTGTCTCACATTGTCAAGCGTTGAGTGAAGGCCGTGCGAAAGTTATACTCATATTCTACGATGATATCGGACCCATCAATGACTTGGATGCAGAATTAAAAGCAATTATAACTATGAGTACGTGTATTCAATGGGGTGATTCTTGGTTTTGGGATAAATTGAAATATGCGCTGCCGCATCAATCCATACGACCAAAAAGCATTGTTGAAAGAGAAGTTGTCGAGAGTGGTGAATTGTAAACAAATAGAGATAAGAAAAAGCTTATCTATCCGTTTATAGTTTCTGTGGCACTTGCAATCATTGTATGCCATTTCGATTGCGATGAAAAGTGATTTTGTGTGCGAAAAACTTGAGGCAAAAGTCACTAATAAATCATTTCTTGCAAGTATTATGTAAGTTATACTGCGGCAATAATCGTTTCTTTTGAATAATTATTAAAATACAGTCCTAAAATCAGTAATAAATGATTTACTTTGATAATGCAAAGGTAGATAAAGCCATTAAGAATATGAAAATGATTAGCGACTATTGATAAATCCATCTTTTGTAGATATACTACTACTATCGAATTTGATATATATCTTTTTCTCTCTTTTTTAAAAAAAGATGTGATTTTAGTTAAAAAGTTGTACACAAATTGATTAAAATACAAGTTAAACATAAAAAAAATACAAAAAACAAGAATAAATATGCATTAACTACCTAATATTAGGATAAATTTATATAAGTACTATTAGAATCGCAATTTTTCGTCAGCATGTAGATCTTAGTATTTTCCGCGTCATCTGCGATTTTTGTGTTCTTATATGCGTGCGCGAAAGAGAAAAGTTTTATAAGTATTTTATAAGTGAACGTATAAAATAAGTCTTTTTCTTATTAGTTTCTATTTTCTTGTCATTCTAAAGAACCCTTCGCTTGTGAGCTGTTTAATCAAAACCTCTAAAAGATATGTTATTAATATAACATAGATAACATAATTTATCAATTCTTATGAAATATCAGCAAATAAATGTATGTGCAAATTTGTAATAATATAATACTTAATGTTATTTTAGTTTTAATCGAAAAAGGTACATATGCTCGAACGTCCTTATATAGATAGACGTATATAATATTTTGAAAGAAAAATAGGAATACTAAATAACATATGTTCATATATTATACATATGTATTACTACGTAAAATGCATAGGATCTCTAGAGTACTAGAACTATTATATTGTTACGTAATAAATATTTAAAAAATAAAAATAAAAAAGTAATATGTTTAAACAGGTCACGTTTGAAAGTCTTGAGAATATACTTCCAGTTCATCGAATAATCATAAAAGAGTAACTCTAGACACATTTCGTCTCCATTGAAAAAAGATGTTATTGTTAACTAGTTCGCTTTTCGAAAAAGAGAAATACTTAAAAATGCTGCGCATTAAAGAGGATTAATCCTCTCCGTTTTTATATTCAGACTCTCATCGCAAAGTGCCTGGAGTCGCTTATGGAAACTAACAGGTGTCCTTCGGCGCGATAAAAAGCGGTAAGATGCACTCCTGATCTAAAAAAAGACGATTTTGTGGTTGAATGCGAGTGACAGTTAAAAACAACATTCCGTCTGATAAATGTTCGTTTTTTATGAAAGTTTGATAAAAGCTTTCACTTATAATGCGGCGTAAGCAGCATCTAATCGCTTCTGTTGAAAATACTTTTGTAATTTTAAGATTTAAATAGAGCAATATTTGTATATTTAATCGATAATAAAATATATAGTAATACTGTTTAGTTTTTAAATCTTTTTTAATTGAATTTCTTTTAATGTACTAATGCGACATGTAATATAATAATGTAGTAGTTCTCTATACATATTATTATTACATTAATAGCAATAACAAGCGAAAAGTTAATAAGCTATTTTACAACTTGACATTTGGCCTTATAAATATACATTTCCAATGATTAGTAAAATTTTAAAACTTGTTACTGATATCACAGAACAATGACATTGTTATTTAACACACACACACACACACACACAATTACTAATGCTATTTAAAATTATTTTAATTACACAAGTTTGTATAAATCAATACTTGTGTTTATTTAATAATAAAATTCACGTCAGCAACAGTCATGTCTAACATCATTATAGAATCAAATACTTTTAGAAATTTAATTTTGTAGTATTGGTAATAGTACGGCTAGTAAATAATGCAGCACGCATTCCAAATTTCTAAATACATATGCGCATGCAAGTATTATATGTACATTTGTTAACTTATCGCTCACTACTTACCATGTAACAGTTTTAAAATACGTATTTACAAAATCTAGAAGAAAAACAATTGCAAGAAATAAAAGTAAAAAAAAACTGCTGCGTAACAGAATACATATTGTAACATTTCAGACACATATTTATAAACGCTTCTTCGTCCAAGTCATTACATAGAATTGTTTTTTCTCAAATACGTGAGGTAATCAAAAGTACACGTAAAATTTGTATCATAGCGTGGCCACACACATTCTTGATATTTCACTCTTCTCTGATTTTTTTTCATGTAAGTAATATCTGCTAAATCATATTATTCAATCAATATATCTGTGAAAAATAATAGTCAGTAATTCCCATGAAGCCGTTTAAAAAGTTGAACAAGTTAATCGACTACAATAATGGCTTGTTAACGAACGAGGAAGAAAGACAACAATTGATGCAGTTATTAGTTTATAACATGAATGAATAAATGAATAAAGTGAAATAATTGATGAAGTGTCTGATGGAAAAGAGTTCATTTTTATACCACACAACGTAATTGATTCTGATTCGATTTGAATATATATTCGTCATTTAATTAATATGTCTATAATGTGATATATTTTTGTGATATACATAGTATATCTATTTTTTGTTATTTATATGGGTTGTATATTTATCTTTCAATTATCTCACATTTTGAATTATTAAATTTTTTTGAGAATTATAAAAAATTGAATTCCTATTATATTCCTGTATATAATAAATAGTAAATATTTTATTCCATACTGAAAACTATATGTGTTCTGTTTTTCTTGTGTAGGAGACATTTCTGTATTTATTGGGAGGTACCTCTCCACAAGAGCAGATACGGACTGCTTTGGAAAATTGTTTTCCAACAAGTTGAGAAAAAAATGTTCATGGATGGGAAGAAGCGGAAATTTCCAATTGAGTAATCTCATTATTATGGATATTTTGAAACGTATGTCTTATATATTATATTATATTTATATACTTTACGTAATATAATTATTCTTCCATTACTAATCATAATCATTTATATTTATATTTAAATTTCTGTAGTCGCAGTTTGTCGACACTTTCCTGCTGTGACTGATAAAGAATATAAAAGCTATGTGTCAGATTGGTTTCGCCATGCGAATACGTGTTACAAAAGAGATGAAAATAAGGTATATATTTATTTTTGATTCGATACTCTATTATTAACATTTTCAATATAAAAAATTTTTATTATTTACAGGAAAACCGACAGATATGAAAATTTCAAGATATATATATATATATCTCTTACATAAGGAAAAGATTGCCCCGGTAATCCTCTGCTGGCGAAACTTCATGTGCAAAGTGACTTTATTTATTTATTATGACATTTTTGTCATATTTTTTTAATTTCAGAGGTTTTTTAATTTTAGTCATATATATATAATATATATTTTATAAAAAGGTATTTTGTCATGTTTTTTTAATTTTGTAACAATAAATAAAAATTTGTTACAAATAATAACGAAATTGTTTCAATTAGTGTTTAGCTGATATATTTATTGTAATGCATTATTTTAATATATAATGAATATGATAACTAATATTTTTTCAATTACAGATAAACAAGTATTATGCCTGGTCTAGACTGAAGGATGATCCTCTACTTGTGACTAAACAGTTTAACGGGTAAAAATTATAATAAAGTTAGAGCTTTTAATCGTATCAATGTAAATAATTTTTTTAAAATAAAGAATTTTAAGATAATTTATTTAAGATAAAGATATTATTTGATACAGTTGATACAATTAAAAGTCAACTTTAGTATAATTTTCACCTATCAAACTCTTTAGCCACAAGTAGGATCATCCTTCAGTCTAAACCAAGTATTATAGCAATGTTTCGTTGAGGAACGGTATTGAAATGTTTCCTGGGCATCCGATAAACGTTTCAGAAACGTTACACACAATACTGCAAAAGATGTTACGCAAGAAATGTTTTTCTAACGGTGTACCTATGTTATTGGAATGTTGTAAATGAAATGTTTCATATGAAAAGATAATAAGGCAGAAGTTTTCTAGTTGCTAGAATGTTACCTAGATATTGTTGAATTGTCATAACTGTAATGTTTCCGTAATGTTGCATAAATGTTTCCTGCATGTTACAAGCAACGTTACAAATGAAACGTTTCATAGGGGATATTGCGGAGGTAGGACATTTCGGGTTACCGAGTAGTTGCAGAAATGTTTCTGCGACTTTATGAAAAACGTTACACTGCCAACATGAGATGTTACAGAAACGTTGTTGTAACACAATTTTGTTTAGTGGGATATTAGACAAAAATAATTCTACATATTCTCTTAAATATTATAAAAACTACAAGATTTTTAACAATGCAATTGTTATCATTTAAAATCTATACATATTTATTATAGGCGGAACCGATAGAACATCAAATTTTCTACATGAAAACAGATAAAGTGCAATTCATAAGAGCAAAAGTATCGCCCATATTTACATCAAGCAAACTTAAGAACATGGTTCCTTTATTACTGCAACGCTCGGAGATTTTTACGGATTGGTTGGACACGCTGTTATTGCAAAATGAACAAATAAATTA